AGTCATATGTTTCACAACATAAAAAAGATCAACGATCGATTTTGTCACATGTGATAAAACGAATGTCCACTATGCTGCGTGTAACAGAGGTGGATTTAAGATACATCCGTCAACAACATCTGGAACAAATAATCTCAGATCTATAAAATTTTAATTTAGGATAAAATAATCATGGATCCATATAGACCACCTGCTTACAGTTAGTATTATTTACTTTTTTTTTTAGAAATTTTCAAGGCTTTATTTATAATTAATTTTAATTTTAAAATCACTAGATCAATATCGCCCGTCATACGAACGTCAATCTTTTGTTTTTCCAACTATTCAATCTTCTTATGTACAACAACAACCTGCAAGACCTAGTTACATTCGACCAAATTATAGACCAAACTATGGACATATGCAAATTAGTGGGAATGCAAGTCAGATAACTTCCACTCTGGGATCAGAAGTAGAGAAATTAACAACACTATTTATTGGTGGAATATCTACTGGTGTGACTGATGATTGGATGGAAAAAATTCTAAAGGTAGGATTTCATTAGTTATATTAGATTTGGTTGGAAGTAAATAAATAAGATATATAGATATATAAAACGTGTATATTATTGACATTATTATGCCGACAAAAACTTGATGATACTTTTACCCAAAAAAAAAAAAACCCCCCCATATGATATGAAATTAAAGGGAAATAAAGTTATCTTTAAAAAATATATATATTTGAAAACCCCTTATTTGGACATACATACACATATATTGGCTATTAGAGGATCAATGCGCTAAAAGGAGGTTTGATCATATTCCTTTATTATAAAGGTTCATACATATATATAAGTAAAAATGAATTTATTGTAGACGCTAAATAATTTCTTTAACAGATAACTTTATCCAATTCAAACTTTTTTTTTGATTTACATGGAAGAAATTATTATTATTATTATTATTTTAAAAAAGGTGTGACCTCTTTTTAATACAATAGCTGACCTTTTTAATTATTTTTAATTATTATTATTATTATTATATGTATATATTTCTTGATTACAATTTTTCACGCATAAACACATATACATAATCTATATATTTCCTTACTTATTGACGATGATGAAAAATATTAAGACTTGCGGCACACTTAAATCTTGGAAACGTGTCAAAGATCAATCAGGAAATCCTAAAGGGTTTGGTTTTGCTGAATACACTGATGCTGATAGTGTTCTACGAGCTTTACGTGTTCTTGGAGGTGAAGGCTCGGGCGATGATAAAAAAGATAAAGGTATTATCTTGCCTGCATTAGAGGAAGGTGCTACTAACAAAAAATTAATAGTAAGTTTTCTTATTTTAAAAGAGATAAATTGTGTAGGGATTCGGTTTAATATTAAAATTATGGATCATTCTGTGTGTTTATAGGTTAAAGCTGATGAAAATACTAGAAAATATTTGGATCAATATGAGGCATCAAGACCTAGAACAGTGGTTTGTATTTTTATAGATATGAGCAATTATCATAATTTAATATGATTAATATCTTGTATATACACACTTAAAAAAATATATATATATATATATATAAATAGCATGACACTGAACTTGATAAAAATGCGTTGCTTGCTGTTATAAATGTGGTAGAGGAAATGACCAAGCCACCTCAAGAGAAACCAGTTTCGCCATCACCAGTTTTATCACAGTCAAACAATAACAATATCAATAAATCTAATACAAAATCTTCACCGATCACCGAACAACAACAACAACCTAATGAATCAGCAGAGAAAGATGAAGAAACAGATTTGCCATCAGACTTACCACAAGAACAAAAAGATCTTATCTACAGAGAGATTGCATTTTTCAGAGAACGTGCAGCTGCAAGAGAACGAGAACGTCAACGAGAAGAGGAGGAACGTTCAAATAGACGCGCAAGAGATGAGCAGCTAAAAGAGCATTCTTCTCATGCAAAAGAACGTAGGGAGAGTAGAGAACGTTCATATGGACATCATCATCAACCTGTTAATTTTGTTCCTGCTAGAGAGTCAAGGCGTGAATCATACATTCTTGATGATGAAGAGGAGGAACAAAGAAGACAGGCAAAAAGAAAAATTGAAATGGAAGTAGCTTTTAAAGAGGTAGAGTAGTTATTATCATTAATTTGAGCAGAAATCTATATATAAAATAATTAGACCTATATTATTCGGTTATTATTATAGAGGGAACGTCGCTGGCAGCATAGAGAAGAAGATATGGCAATAAATAGAGAACGTGAATCAGAACGTGAGTTGAGTATACGAGAAAAACAAATACGAGATCGTGAATTAATGGCAAGAAAATTAGCTGAATGGGATGATGATATCGAGGCTGAAAGAGGTCAAGAAGAATACTATAGAGATCGGTTAGTTAGAGTGTTGTCTATTCTTTTAAGAAATCAATTGAATTAATTGAAATCATGTAATTTATTATCCAATTATATAATTTATATATTTATTATATAGGCCTCGTTGGTGGTTCCATAGACAACAATATAGAGCACGCGAATTAGCTATGGATGAACAAGATAGGCATAAAGAACAACAAGAAGTAGAGAAACGTCGTTTAGAATTGGAACGTATAATTGAAGAAGAAAAGAGACAACGAACAGAAGCCATGGAAACTGAAATAAATTTTGAAAAGGATGCCTCATTAACAGCATCAAATGGTTCACAGAATAATAATATTAAGGCTAAGCTTACACTCAACCTTTCTTCAAAACGTCGTGCAGCTGTAATTGCACCATCTGAAGAAGATGAAGATGATTATGACGATGAGGAAAGTGAGCATAAGAGAAAACGCAGAGTTTTGGTTCCATTGGAGTATAGTGATGATGATGATGATGAAAAGAAAACTGAGGAACGTAGGAAAAAAATTAAAGATTTGGTAGAGACTATTCCTACCGATAAAGAAGGTTTATGGAAATGGAATGTTAAATGGGAAGAGTTGGACGAGGTATTTTAATATAGTCCTTTTTATTAATAAAAGAAAGATAGATAAACTTTGATTACGAATTTTTGCTGACTTGATTTTTATCTTCCAGGCAATAATTGAGAAGAAATTAAAACCATTTGTTAGTAAAAAAATAGTAGAATATTTTGGTGTACAAGAAGATGAGTTGGTTTCATTTGTAATGGACCATTTACGCAATAAAAAATCTGCATCGCAATTAACAAAAGAAATGGAAATGGTATATAGATTTTTAGGTTTTATATATATATATACATAATATTTATTTATTTTAAAAGAAATTAAATTATATTCTTTTTTTAAAAAAATAGACATTGGATGAAGAATCAGAGCTCTTTGTGATGAAATTATGGCGGATGTTAATCTTTGAAACAGAGAGCAAAGCAAAAAAACTTTAGGATGATTTGATTTGATTTTTATATAAACGTATGTTAAAAAAATTTTTATAAATCAAAAACAAGATATTTAATTATATATTTAAATAAAATTAAAAAGCTAATTGTAAATTTTAAAATTACATTGTTACTGTAATGACAATGTATATCATCACAAAATCTTTAAATTGTATCAGTAAATTTGAATTTAATTTTTCACTGAATCTAAGAAGTTTAGACATTTAATCAGTAACATTTATAACAACTTTACCACATGTATATTAAAAACACACACACATATATATACACACATATCGGTAAATCTTCATGATGCAAAAAATTTTAAATTTTATATCAACGGTAAAGTTCTCGAGAATATTTTACCACGTGTAGATAATAAATTTATAAAATTATTTGCGGAATAATCAAAAAGGTGCGTTCAGATACTTTCTTCCAGGTATCCGATCACAATAGAAACGGAAACGGAAATCGTTTATTCAGATTATTATTATTCAAATAATCAAAACACCAACCACTCCAACCTTTAAAATGATAAGGTTGACAATATCAAAAACAGTAACAGTGACAACAAACGTTTAGATGATAATGTCAATGGTATGACAAATAATATCTCTGTAGAAAATCCTAGTTTAACATTTAAAAATTTGGTCGTTTTCCCGGATATAATTAAAGCAACCAGGAAAATGACTTTTTACATCTTCCAACGATTAATTCAATAATGGTAAAAGAAACTTGAGTGTATGTGTTGATAATTTCATGGAGTGTTACTAAAACTATTGCATTTTTGAGGAATGAAAAAGAAATATCAATATTACTGCGTCTACATCTATTTATAACAAAACCACAAGTAACAATAAAAATCTACGATCTTGAATTCAAAATGATATAGTCAAATATTCAATTGTTTTGATGTTGAAGGACAATTTGGTTCAGAAAATGACACTTTCACTCGTCATCACTCATTATCATCTTATCATGGGAAAAGCACAGCCAGCCATACGTCACCTAAACATGTTGAACAAGGGTTATATATTAAAAGAAATAAAAATATTAATGGTGTTATCAATGATGATGATGATGATGATGATGATGATGATAACGATAATAATGATGAAAATAATACTAGTCAATTTTTACAAATTGAAATCGATAAGATAACGATACTAGGTATGTTACAGATTTAGATTCAACAATTGAAGCAAAAAAATAACCCATACAGTTTTGATCAATAAAAATATCAAATATTACTTTTGAATATGATGATACATTTTTGATATTAAGTTATCAAAGTAAACAATTCTGTTCATGATTTTTTTGATAATCATGTTGATAACATGACAACTAAAGCAGAAAGTAAGGATTTTAGTGAGTTAATGGAAAATATGAAGATGGAAAGACGACGATAACGATAATAACAATAACAATAACAATAACATAAATCAAGAATGTCTAGATTATTAAATACGTCATCTTTAATATCAGATTTAGCAATCACAAAAATGATGAACCATTTAAATTATATTAATGATGATTAATGAGAAAAGTTGATTATAAATCGCTTTGTATAAATTTTATTGCGCAAATTTGACAATGAATTTCTCTTTATGAATCACAAAGAGCAACTCACAATTTTGCATTTTTATCAATTTTAACAACCACTTTACCAAAATTTTTACCGTTCAACAGTCCCAAAAAGGCTTCAGGCGCATTTTCAATTCCTATAACGAATTCTTCTTTATACTTTAATTTGGAAGATTTAAACCACTCATTCATATCTTTTAGAAACTTCTCATACAATTCTTTATAATGATCGGTCACAATAAAGCCTTGATAAAGAGCACGCTTTGGAATAGTAGCGATAAGGTTTTTGATACGGTATGGTTTTTCAGCATTGTATTGTGATATCATTCCACAACCTATCACTCTTGCAAAATCATTCAATTGGAGCAATACTATATCCAACATCTCTCCTCTATTAAAAAAAGAAAAGTTTTTGTTATTATTTTCTGTTTATGGCAAATAAATAATGTTTTAAGAAATTATAAAAATATTACCCAACATTATCAAAATAAATATCTATTCCATTTGGACATAGTTCTTTTAATTTCTGATCAAAAAATGTTTTTTAAGAATTGTTAATATACAGATATACATATACATGCATTTGTATACTATACAATTATCTTTTTAATTATTTAATTTAAGAGTCACCTACCTTTTTGATATCAACTTTTTTATAATTGAAAGCTCCATCCAGTTTCAATTCATTTAAAAGGAAATCAACTTTACCATCATCACCAGCGGAACCTATAAATATAAAATAAAGTTTCATTAACATATGATTTTCATTAAAAGTAGAAAAGGGCATAAATTATTTACCAACAACACGTAATCCTAAAATTTTAGAGATTTGACAAGCAACTTGTCCTACTGCGCCTGCTGCTGTCTGATTTTAATAATAATTATCAGTTATAATTTTTTGTTTACCCATGTCATGTTTAATTGTTTTTGCTTACCGAAATATAAATAGTTTCGCCCTTTTTTGGTTGGCCAATTTTAAATAATCCACAATAAGCTGTCATACCAGGCATACCAAATAGTCCCAAAAAATAGCTAAGTGGAATACCTAAATTTTCAGCAGAATTTAAACCCTCAGTGAATCTTGAATTTTGATTTGCAGTTTGCGCCGGAATCACCGAATATTCCTCCCATCCTAATGAATGAATGAAGAAAAAAATAATATATTTTTTTAATATCATGAAATCAAATTCTCATCAAATAAATATACACATGTATGCAAATTAATATATACCGGTCATTCCAGAATATAAATCACCAACTTTATATCTTGAATTATTACTTTTGATCACTTTACCAACACCACCAGCCTCCAAAACTTTGCCAACAACAAATGCTTCATTATAAGACTTGATTTCGGGTGGTCTCATTTTGCCACGCATATAAGGATCTAATGATATATAGATGTTTTTTACCAATAATTCATCTTGTTTGAGATCATAGGAATCAATATCGATCTTATTGTGTACAATTTCGATATGTTCACCGATTACTGGAAATTGACGTCCAGGTATTGAATTGAATTTAATTCCTGTGTTGCTGGTCATCTTTTTTTTTTGTTAAATATTAAATTTAATAATAAATAATATCTGAATACGTCAGTGTCTTGCACAAATTACACAGGTGCGGAGGTATTTATATTAATAGTTAAAGGTTTTGTTTGAATGTGCATCTATCCTATTCGGATCATTTATCAGTTGAACGGTTTTAATTTGTCGTGCAAAACGATTTTCCGAAATTTTTTGGTGATCGACGTCAACTCCCACTTAGTATGGTTACGTCATCTATAAATGTCAATTGTCCGAAATTTAAAAATGTAGATCTTTCCAATATAAGTAATTTATTTTTTATATTGCACAAAAGTGCAAAAAAATTTTTATTAACATTAAATCTATTTTTAGTTCCTGAATAATTTACTTGGGAATTCTTCTATGGGATCTAATTGTCATCACATCTATTGAATTTAGAGCTTCTGGAACAGTATTTAGTAAACCCTCCCATGTATAGTCATACTTCTCTCCAACATTTTTTTTTTTTTTTGCTTTACCCCAATATCTTTTCAATAAAGTTTAATTCATAACAAAATTTGGGGTAAAAAATGTATAAGTGCCTGCGTCTAAAATAGCTTCTTCAATGCACACTTTTGATTTTAAAATCAGGTTGCATCAAAAGAATCCTTCTAGTAAAATAATCTGCCTTATTTTTATCTATAACTTTAACTTTACCTTTACATAATTCACAGTCTGCTAATAAATCACCTAATTAACTAAATCACTAAATAAAATAATTGATACGACATAAACTAAGGAAAATTATCAACGATCACTTACTTTTTATGGAAAGAATTTAACTTTAAAAGTTTATATATATATATATATATAGCACAAAATTTTTTTTTTTTGATTAAAGTCAGATGACCATTTTGACGTTTATAGGGATGGCAACTCGGAGGTTGCAACTGCAGCAATCTTCGATTGGTCAGCTATAAAAATGATACTAATATTAATAAAACAACAATTTTGTCACATAATTAAAAATCAATAATAATAATATTAGTATTAATATGTACAATGAATAATCAGTTTATAAAATGCTTTTTAATGTTTATTTAAAGGATAATTAATGGTAAAAGATAATTGCAATAGTAGTAGTAAAAGATAATGTTATTTTATTTAAAATAATAAATAGTAATAATAAGAATGTTTTTTTATTTATAAAAATAAATAAAATCATTTTTGCAGTTATGTGATTCCATTTGATACCAAGTCATCATAATTATAGTTGTAGACAGTTTCAGGGGTTCCATTTTCAGAAAATGTGAAAACAGTTACAGATACCAAATTCTAGTTTATTTGATGGTTTTCAAGCATTTCAGAGGCTAATAATTTTAACCTCATTTTTATACTCGAAAAATTTGCAACGTGTTTGAGCTAAAATTTATTTCAAGTATTACGAGAAAAACTTGACATGCAAAAAACGCTAAACGAATTAAAAAAGATTATCAGGTTAGTCTTTTCTGTTAAAAACGTTTCCAAACTCGATTGATCATCCACCACCCAGTAATAAGTGGTGTTATGCAACAATAATTTTCGTGTTACAATATTTTGAATCTCATGACCAAATTTGGTAATGATTTTCTTTTAACTTTTTTGTTGTAAAGAACTTTTATTTATTAATAAAAAAAAAGGAAATAAATAAGTCAAATAAATCAAATGTATCTTGTAGAAAATATTCTATGAAAAA